TGAAATTTGGTGTACTAAATCGGGACTTGCGAAGGAGGGTTTAACAGTTCTTTTGTATAATTTATTACTACATGTGGTCACTGGTGCAAGGCACTAATTAGGTTGAAGGAATTAATCAGAGGAAGTTTTGGTCGATAGTGGGATGAAGTATTTTAAAAGAATGCAGATTTTTTAGGTTTTAAATCTCATTGGGATATCCGTAGTGTGAACAGTCTATTGAATAAATAGTCACATTTAGGTCTGTGGGTCATTGAACGCCTATATAACATAATAGTAGGCTTCAAATTATACATAAAAAAACATAATTTTATTTGAGACATATCTCTCTGAGCACACTGCAGTTCATTTGCTCCTTAATGATGCCCATATTACAGCATTATAATGAAATACGGTAGTTCTGAAGAGATGCACTGGCTTATAAATCAACATATTTGTTTGGTACAGACCCCAATGGTTAATGTTTTTTCTGTAAAAATGAACATTAGATGGAAAAATTATCATTCCCAATAAGCGTGAATCATTTTGCAATTGCAATATCTGTCAAAATAGTAGCAATAAGTTTTACCATATCGTACAGCCCTAGTTTATCCAGTATTATCAGTGGGGTTATCACATTGTTACAGTTATTGTTATAGTTGTTTTTCTTTGTGTGGACAGAAAAGGACACTTTTCGTTCTGACCAGAACTATCTACATGGGTAGACACCATAGAGCTAGGTAAGGTTTTGTAATTTGGGTGAACTAACCTTCAAGTTATCGTTGTCCTTTGTCTTCCTTGGCTTAGGGAAAGCATGTCAGATTTATAATCGGCACTGTGGTTATTGAAGTCAAGATTTCAGTATAATGATTTGTGATTGTTCCAGCTGCTACATGCAGCTTACTGCTGATATGAAAAACATTATTGACTTGAAAACTGCAGGGTTGTCTCAGCCTTGAGCTTATTATGGCTCAGAAATGTGTGTGTGCGTGGGTGGCTGGGTGCATATGGAAGCCCAGCGGAGAGGAGAACCTCATTTCCCGGTGGCTTGGTGAGAAAAGAGTTCCTATTGGTGAATGACGCATACACCACCACATCCTCATGTGCCCTCTGAGAAGCAACCTCTGACCTTTGCTGCTATGACTACTTCCTGTTGAGAGAGGGCTGAAGATGAGTGTGTGTGGGGATGAGGCTGGGGGCTACACACAGGAACACATACTGCTGCTGTACAGTGAGTTGGTGGCTGTAAAGAGGAAAGAGCTTCTCCTTTCAGCGCTGTGCCTACTGTGTCAATATTAGTTTTGTGATTCATTGTTGATCTACGACCATGAAGGCAATTCACCTCAATTCAGCAGTTTATGACTCTTTTATTGACAGCGGGCTGTCAGAACTTCAACATGTATTGCCATGTAATTGTCTCTCTATCACCATGTAAACATCACTGTTGGGTATCAGCGGCTTTTAATGCTGTCACAAATTCCCATACAGTGTGTGCTGTGTGCAGACCCCTGTATCTCTCTCAGAGATATATACTGCATACTGTGTTCTCCATTATTCTATGAGTTGAATAAAAATGTAGACGCCACATAAAGCACATTTTATATTCAATATTCCCATTTTCAAATCAGTACTTAACTGCACTAAAACCTATGGGAAAGAATTTGATGACTGCAGTTGCCTTTAAGTGCAACTTGTCAAAAAGAGGTTTATTTTACAGGAGGAAGGAGCAGCTCGCATGACTGTAGTCTAAATGGATTGTACTTATAGCAGCTTTCTAGTCTTCCAGCCACTCAAAGCGATGTACACTACATGCCACATTCACCCATTCACCCAAAGGCCATCACAAACAGAAACTCATTCATCCACATTCACACACCCTTGCACAGCATCGGTAGCAATTTGGGGTTCAGTATCTTGCTCAAGGATACTTCCAACCAGGGATTAAACTGCCAACCATTTGATTATTGGACAACCTGCCGTACCTTGTGAGCCAAAGTAAAACAGTTTAATTTTGTTTAGACACGAAATTCTGTGGTAGACTATATGAAGCACATATTTCACTCTTAGATCAATGTCCCACACTTGTTTACTCTCTATTTTAAGTCCATGTTGTATTTTTTCCTAGTTGTGTTCATCTGCTTTTTGGTGCCACACTGACATCATTTCCCCTATGCATCATACATTTACTTACTTAAAATAAATGTATTTGTTAGAGTTTATACAGTGTGATAAACAGCTAGCCTTTTGTAATGTATGTCAACTTCCCCGGGGGGTCAGTGGATCTCTGTGTGTTTAACCACTGTGTGCCGCTCGGTTTTATCAGATGGTCTGCAGAAGTGTGTTACTATCTGGCAGCACACACACGTACACACACATGCACAGGGTCAGGAAGCCTACAAATAGCCTGGAGTTTAGGTCATCAAGTGACAGCATACTGGATAAGACTGGACAAGGTCATGGTGAGGGGACAGCTTTTTTTTTTTTAGAATCACACTAAATTAGGGATGTCCGATAATATTGGCCCTCCGATATTATCGGCCGATATTCACTAAAAAA